GTGTAGTTATCTACCAATGTGCAATAAAGTGTTGAGATGAGCCCTGGTGACTCTTATTGTTCTTCCAATCAACACACATGACTGCATCACCTATTCCAAACAATAGGTGGTGGCAAAGTGAGGAGACCCGATTCCAAACGCTACCTGCAGTTCTGAGTCCACGTTAGCAGGGAGTATCAGATCTTGTACCTGTCACAGCACCTACAGAGATGTATATCTCGACGTCGCCAGAGTCAACAGCACCTGCCTGGTCCGTGGCAGCTTGAGTCCACCCACGATTAACTGCACAGGTAAACCTTGATCCTTTAAAAAATCATTGTGGCTTTGTTTAGTCAGCAACTATTTGTTTCATAGAAATAGCAAGTCGTGTAATCATGGACAAGTGTTAGCCGAAGTGCAGCGATTCAGGGTCCCTTCATTGCCAAAACCTGCTGGTCGTAAGAAAGAAACCCGAATCAGATCCTAGTATATTACTAAAAATGTAAGCAGTCTTGGCTTGCACAGTTGAACATCAGTTTAAAGCAACGTTAATTAAATGATCACGCTTTTCGTGACTTTCACTGTTCATTATTATCATGTCTTAATCATTTCATTTCCAGGTCCCTACATCAGACTGACCACGCCTAGTATCAGCACATACACCTTCCAGCAGATATCTGCCAGCAACCTACACACAATCACAGGCGGCACCTCCACCGTGGTGTTTCTGGTCAAGGCGTGCCACGATGCCAACTTTGCCCTGCACACAAATCCTAACACCTACACCACTGATGTGTATGAAGTGGGCTTTGGTGGGTATGGGAACAGGAAGTCCTTTATTGGTGAATGCATACAGTGCAGTATCATGGATTCCCATGCTGAATCATCTATTGTATCATGTAACGAGTACAGACCATTTTGGCTCAGCTGGAAGAATGGCGTCATCTCTGCGGGAAAAGGACCGGTTGCTGGGACCCAGAAATTCATGCAATGGTCGCCAACTAAACCCATTGTTATAAATCACGTTAGTATCAGTACCTATGTTGATAATTCTGGAACGAGGCTCTTCCGCCGAGAGCAGTAATATTCTTATCGTTGAAGCACCTCATAATAGAGTTTTATTTCTCACCCTTCAACCCAGTGTTATCCTTTACTTGTTCACAAACTTATTCCTACACACCAGTTCGGATATGTAACTTTTTGTACCCCGAAATATACAGACGCTATGATCAAATCACAGTCGTTGACGCAAAAAAGTGACACCTGTTGACATTTATGATACTGGCTCTATTAACAGGGGAAATACACTGAAGGACATTTTGCATAACTCACGTTGGATATTGATTAATTGACGAATTGACTTCCCGTTCTTTGATGCCTTACCATAATGTATTCATGCTCAAATCAAACCCTAGACATTGTACAATACTTAACATTTATATTATCCTTAATTTTAAAATTAGTTTGTTAATGTTTATTTCAATGCCACAGAATAACCGTCAAAATAACTTTTAAGAAAGTTTATGCTAAAAGGGGCATTGATTTAAAGCAATTCCCCGGGACTGGTTGTTGCCTTTCTTCTTGTTTTTCCCCGTGAGTACCCGGATGATATAGCAGAAATCTAGACTAGTTCGCGACCTGTGCTGCGCCATTCGTGAGCACATTTGTCACTTTTATTGTTAGTATAAGGGCGTATGGACACATTGATCAACAAAATGAAATACAGTTTTGGAAATAATAAGGAAATGTAGGTATCTTTGTGGGTAGCATCGGTAATGGTGACGAGGTTTTGTTAAGTAAACTTGCTTGGTAATTGTGCGATTTTCGTTTACACTATTTTGACTTGCAACACAAAGTAAATTTTTCACCTGAGCATTGCTTATTTTATCGTGTTTATATTTTTACAGTCACAAATGTGCAAAATTTTCACGTAGGAAATTTATTAAAAGTCTTAAATATCCAGTTATTTTACAAATTGACTGAAACATGTCCATCTGTATTATTATGACAACGAATTCCAAACATTTTTATGTTTAATATCATCACCAAGAGACGGAAAATGTTACGATGAAAAGTACATTTCTATATTGTTTGGCTTCTAATCCTACATAATAATTTATGGTGATGTTTTTAATACCTTTTGGTCGTCGTAATCATTTTCAGTCAACCTGTTAAAGAAATAGACAGATTTTTCAGTCAAAGTATATAGAAATATTTAGAAATATAGACATTTTATAAATTGCCTGAGAGAATCACACTTTACAAATTGACTGTAATATATACACGCTTACAAAGGAAAAGAGTTGTGAAAACAATGTCTATTGCGCCTCGAAGAACTTCCCAACCAAGACGTAGAGGAACAAGAATGAATCTGTTCAATGCTACAGCAAATGAAGGAAAAGAAAATGCAAATATCATAATTACAACCTAACAAATTTATATGTATAATTTTAGGCAGCTTCCTTCTTCGAGGAATGTATCCGTGAATATCCATTTAAAGGAACAATCCCAAACGTCCTGTAGCTGTACAAAGAAACTTATTCGATGTCACGTGTCTCTGTAACAATCAAATATTTTAAAATATCGTTTCGGGATATTATAAACCGTGTTCGTTTCTCAACTGATCACTTAGTTTGTTTCAGTTGTTTCACATAGGTGTCAAGTCTAAAAGGTCAGCTGAGAAAGCCCACGTGACAACTATTTTCATAATGTCCACGGTTCTTAAAAAATCCATAGGGTTAGATAACAATGAGCAATCAATCAACGTATTATTGGTTAACCTTTTGAACAAAGTATGTTGTTTTTACATCGGCACTTAACACCATGATATGAGTGTATTCCCTTTGCTTTAGTAAACCTAGACATGTAAACACTCACTTTTGACATATCCACTGTGCAAGATAACAGTGATTCATCAATCAACGTATTTTCTGTTAATCTTTTGATGACAAGGAACGATCCGTTGATTTACCAAAAAGTAAATTGGGATCGATGACATGCATCAACCAAGTCAGCGAGCCTGACCACCCGATCCCGTTAGTCCCTCCTACGACAAGCATAGTCACCTTTTACGGCAAGCATGGGTTGCTGAAGGCCTAATTTACCCCAGACCTTCACAGGTCCGACATCTGTAGTACCTTGTGAATGTATATTTAGTGACGCTCTTCGTACAAGTTGCTGAGTGCGGCGTTAAACAAAAAAACCAACAACAATAGTACATGTACCAACATTTCTACCCGTGTTAAAAGCCATTACCTCCAGCCAGTGTCAATGCAGGAAGCAAAGGCACTGTAAGTCCCCATGGTCCCTGGTATGGTGATCTCCCTTTAGTTACTGACGATCTCTAGCCTTTTTTTATATTGTGTTGTTCCCTAATACTTATGACTTTTATATATTCTCAACTAGTTTTAATAGACTGTGTGATATTCTAGTTATTGTACTGTCCATCGTTGACAGCTTTTTATATTGTCTAAATATGTGTATTATTAATGTACTTCTCGTCACGATATGGCTGAAATACTGCCGATATGACGTTAAATCTTAACTCACTCACTCACTCACTAATAGCCATTACCAGATATTCTGTGCAAAGAAACTTGACTTCACTCCATCTTGAAGTGTCTGATGACCATTCCGATAAAATAACGAAGCATGCGTCTACTTTTGGAGATTCTCTCCGCGATTGGATTCATTTTGTGGTAGTTGAGGGGAACTGCTCTATCTTGTTTATCCAGAACCTTTGCTGTATGCTCATACCAAGGATTAATTATATAAAGCTCTTACACATGGATTTAAACAACTCTTGAGCATGCTATAAAGAAAGCTAGGTTACAGTGTGGAGGAAGGTAGCGATAGCTTCCTAACCGTTAATGTTTGGAAATTACATCTGACGATTATGTGAAGAAACTGGCACTCACAAATTGTGTGAGAAATAGGAAAAAAACAACAACGGTCGTGTAAGGTTGACACATAGAATTAAGATCGAGCTACGGTTTGTTTGTGAAACTGTCGTATCTTCAGACTATGGTTTGTGTAATAGGGTCGTGACTGCCTACTTATAGCTCCTGTGCAATCATTCCAAGAATCTACTGACAAAAAGGTTGAGGTAGCCCCTGTTCCTACGGGCCTGTATTGATACAGTTAGACTCGTACAGTGGACTCTGTTTTTAGCAGGGTTTTTCTTAAGATTATGGAAAGCGTTTTATTGAATATTAGGGGATATGAAAAAATATCTTTGTACCCGAAATTGCTTGATAAATATTCTCTTCCCCCTCCCCCTCCCCCCCCAAAACAGAAAAAAACACCTAAAAAACTGAACACATCCACCCATCGTCCCATCCATCCACACGAATCCATCCATCCACACACACACACACACACACACACACACACACACACACACACACACACACACACACACACACACACACACACACACACACTCACTCACTCACACACTCTCACACACACACACACACACACACACATGATAATAACGCATAAATAGTAATAACATGTGCATTGATACAGCGCCCTTTCCATGTAACGAATACTCGTAATGTGTAACGTGCGGCCTTGTGGTTAAAGCGTTCGCTCGTCACGTCGAAGGCCCGGGTTCGATTCCCCAGATGGGTACAATGTGTGAATGCCAGTTCTGGTGTCCTCCGCCGTGATATTGCTGGAATATTGCTAAAAGCGGCGTAAAACCATACTCACTCACTGTAAGGTGGCAAAGAGGTAAGGTACATGAAAACCATGTCGAATCCGGGCCTTGATGAACGAACACATTAACCATAAGGCTACTGCACCAACGCTTGATTATGATTAAATCTGAAATATCTTCAGTAAGATCCATAAAAATATCAAAACCTGCCAATACCCAGCTTTTTATACATATTTTAATATACATGTATGAAAATCCTTTACATATGACTTTGATTGATTATATATCAAGCGCAATGTTGCATTTTGAGGTCGTATTGATTCCCAGGGCAAGCTGGTCTGCATGCATATGGCCACGATGTAGCAATACTCGGCTGCAACTGTTATACGCAAACATTGCCATACAACTCAGAATCCCATACCTGCACAGATGTTGGCGGGAGTTGCCTTTGTTTCACAGCCAGTGGAAAATGTGAGCATGTTTGTATGTTTGTATGTTTGTATGTCTGTGGGTTCTGCAGGTGCAATACCGTAACATGTGCATGACCGTACGTTTCTTTCAAAGCTGCAAATATGGAATATACAAGAGGATGTACATGTACATTGAAGCTCTATGATACATAGACGCTTTAGCATAGAATAGGTCTTCAGCAACCCATGCTTGCCGTAAATGGCGACTATGCTTGTCGTAAATGGCGACTAACGGGATCGGGTGGTCATCGTATGTCATCGTGTCCCAATTGCGTGAATTGATGCGCATGAAGTCGATCACTGGATTGTTTGATTTATTGCCTCGATTATTTACAGTGGCTTGGTTCATGTGTAAACACCCAATATTATACAAGTGAGTTAGAGTGTCGGTGGTTAGGTTTCTATGTCGACATTCAATATCATAAAAGTGAGTAAGTAAATATCTGTGAATCTGTAAATGAGTGAGTGAGTTGAAGTGAATGTGAGTTTATTGCCATTACATAACGCTTGAATAATCAGGGGGGAATTTGAGGGTGTGGTTGGAGATGTTTATACTGCTAGCTGACTAATGGGCAGGACCCAACAGGTCATGTTCATTCGGGTAATTTCAACAATGACATTCTGTCTTCAAAACCGCTGGTGATCTTGTCCTATCCAAAAGATGTATACATAACCGCTCCCATTGTTCTGTCCTCCCTTCAACTAACAAGTAAACACCAGGGCTACATTGATGAACCTTACAGCACGAGCTGTGAAACCTTATCGAGGAAAGGGGAACATCGATCCGTGGCGACAGATGGCGAACTACATCTTCGTTATTAAAATATAGATTCCACTAGCAGTGACCTAGATTTAGGACCTACGAGTGTTGAAAATTGATGCTTCCAATGTTTATTAACACACATTTAACATTACAGATGTTGATTACTGGATGTTCCCTGACCCAGCTGGATCTAATGTACCTCTTCTCAACATATGTATCAATTACTGTGCTGACTGTCACAACATAAGGGTGGAGGTCGGTAACACAATCCAGCGAACCTCGACGACCTCGATATAGTGGATAAGGACATTAGCATCGCCGACGACCTCACCACCAAAATGCAGCCTATGAAGAACACTACTGTCCTCGCCTTTTCATTCTTCGCTGTCTTCACCGCCTTTCAGGGAATACAAAATATTGCAAGCAGCATTAACCAGGATAAGGGACTTGGAGTTGCCTCCCTTTCTTGTATATACTCCAGTTGCATTGTGACGGCAATGCTCAGTCCCTTGTATATACACAGTGTAGGGTTAAAACCATCCTTTATTCTTGCCTTCATTGCCCACTGTTTATATTGTCTCAGTAACTTTCATCCAGCATGGTGGACATTGATACCATCGTCTGTCCTATTAGGTCTTACGTTATCGCCCATGTGGATTGCCCGACATCTGTACGTCACCGCAATGGGAACACAAGACATTCAGGGCAAGCAGGAAGGGATCCATGGTTCGCTCAGCAAACATAATGGAATCTTTTTCGCTTGCTTTAGTTTAGCCCAAGTGACGGGAAACTTTTTGTCGTCTGCTATCCTACATCAAAGCTCAGCTGACCAAACAGATCTGAAACAGGCAAAGATCTGTGGCGCGGACGATTGTCCAGGGATCGAGAACAAGACAACGGAAATTATTCGTCCGGACACTTCTGTGGTCAACTTGTTGTTGGGGATCTATCTGGCATGTCAGTTAGTTGGGCTGGGAGCAGCCATGTTGTTTCTTAGACCGTTGAAACTGGAAGGGAGTGACCAGAAGAGCCCGATAAAGAAATCACTGTCTTGCTGCGTGGTTTTGAAGCAAAAGAAGTTATTACTGCTGATTCCTTTGAAACTCTCCCAGGCGGTTCACACCTCTATCATGTTCACAGGATTTACCAAGGTAGGAAAAGGACCGCCTCTGCGGTGGTCTGGTAGTAGAGCGTCCGCCCAGAGACCGGAAGGTCCGGGGTTCGATCCCCGTCCGCGTCATACCAAAAGACGTTAAAAGATGGTACTTGTTGTTACCCTGTCTGACGCTTGGCATTAAGGAGCTAAAACAAGGACTGGTCGGCTCGAAGTATACTGTGTCTGAGTGGGGTATTCATGTTAAACTCCGGCATGGTATCTCAGTGGGCTAGCACTATAAATCGGCATCAGTCCGGACTAGTACAAGCAGCCACACACACACACGTGCATGTACGTCACTATATAAGTGCAATAATCTTGGACGCGACGTTAAACCCCATTTCACCTCACCTCACTAAGGTAGGAAAGGATGGCCATAATGCATCCTCGCTTACACAGTGAAATATATCTCAATTCTATTATGAAAAAAAACCAATTAATTTTTTGGCTATAAGTCCACTTCGAATAGTATGACGCGTAATATATCATTCTTATCAAATAGGGGCGGTCGGGTAGCCTAGTGGTTAAAGCGTTCGCTCGTCACGCCGAGCCATTACATAACGCTTGAATAATCAGGGGGGAATTTGAGGGTGTGGTTGGAGATGTTTATACTGCTAGCTGACTAATGGGCAGGACCTAACAGGTCATGTTCATTCGGGTAATTTCAACAATGACATTCTGTCTTCAAAACGGCTGGTGATCTTGTCTTATCAAATAGATGTAAACGTAACCGCTCCCATTGTTCTGTCGGGGCGGTCGGGTAGCCTAGTGGTTAAAGCGTTCGCTCGTCACGCCGAAGACCCGGGTTCGATTCCCGACATGGGTACAATGTGTGAAGCCCATTTCTGGTGTCCCCGCCGTGATATTGCTGGAATATTGCTAAAAGCGGCGTAAAACCATACTCACTCACTCATTTCTCAAATAATTCTTTCGAATTTTTACAAGTGATATTCTGTGCTACGGCGATAAGGGCGATAGAGGTTTTGAAACGAAGCAATGGAGTCAACTGAATTCAAATTCCATATAATTGGTAAAAAAGAATTGAGATACATTCTCTGGATAATTGAGGATGGTATTTATAAGGAAGGTGTATTTTATTCTACTGTTACTTACATATGATCAAAATCGATTAATTAAATCCTTGTTCGAGCGCCAGGCAGGGTAACATAAGTACCATATTTTAACGCCTTGACGTGATTACGCGACTAGGGGATCGAACCGACGAACTTCCGCTTTCCGGGCAGAGGCTCTATCCACTCCACCACGGAGACGATCAATAATGTTTCAGGAATTATCACAGGACAGTATTGTTTGTACTTCCTGATCTTGGCAACTTTGTACGAATTCAATCCTTTGTTTGCAAGGAGGTCCAAACCAACGTGATGTCATATGACATTATCGCCAAAACGCAATCAATTGTTCATGACGTCACAAACGTCGAATGACTAAGTTAATGTCAACAATTAAGATGAGGAAACTCGCATCTTTCTACATTACTTCAGAAAAGGACGATGACTGTTATAAAGAGTGAGTTAGTATGGTTTTACGCCGCTTTTAGCAATATCACGGCTGGGGACACCATGTGGGGAATCGAACCCGGGTCTTCGGCGTGACGAGCGAACGCTTTAACCTAGAGACTCCCCCACCGACCACTATAATAAAGAACAAGATATAAATGACGGGCGTTTCTCTGAACATCCAGCTGAGGTTTTACATTTGAAAATCTATATTTTTATTTTTTCATTGCTCAGGTTTTGTCTCGAACGTAAAACGTCGGAGCCATCTATCATCAAATGATTCACAAACGTTTTCATTACAGGCCTACGTGAGCTGCTCTGCCGGTGTTAAGATGGTCGGCTTTGTCATGATGACGTACGGCTTGGTGTCTTCTATTTGCGCTGTCACCTTCGGCCATGCCGCAAAATACACTGGCCGGAAACCTCTGATGGGCATAACACTAGGCACGGATGTCATCACCCTATTGTCTCTGTTACTATGGAAACCGATTTCTGGAGAAACGTACCTCCTTCTCATAATTCCTTCAATATGGGCTGTTGGTGACGGCATCTGGAAGAGTCAAATCATGTGTAAGGTGGTACTATTTTATCAATGACACGGGTGGCATCTGAGGCGCCCCATTTCTTTGTGCACAGGTGTGCCCTGAGGCGGGTGGCACGTGAAGATCCGGGGTAGAATTCAGCAACCCATGCTTGCCGTAAAAGGCGACTTTGCTTGTCGTAAGAGGCGACTAACGGGATCGGGTGGTCTGGCTCGCTGACTTGGTTTAGGCATGTCATCGATCCCAATTTCGTGGATATATGCTCATGATATTAATCACTGGATTATCTGGTCCAGACTCGATTACTTACAGACCGTCGTCGTACAGCTGGAATATTGCTGAGTGCGGCGTTAAACAACAAACCAACCAACCAACCAACCAACAAACCAACTAAGAGGCGTGTTCGAATCCCGGTTTTCAGCACAATACCCGTGATCGTGGGTTTTACAAAAGTAGTAAAAGTGTAAGAGCTGTGCACATCACTTCTGACTTTCCTCCAACCTCAATCTGACCCGCCATGATATAAATGAAATACTATTCAAAGCAGCATTAATCCCAACTCGGTCACTCACCTCGAAAGGTTCAAGCCCCTCTTCTCCAATTACAACTTAAATAAAACATGATTGAATTTATCAACCGCAACCTTATAACAACGACGAAACGGCCAAAGGATGGCCACTTGTATGTATTAAGAGTATTGAACTTTCTGAAATCTTTATTATTTAATGTAACTGTACAAATCGAGGTGGTTTAGTTCCCATTTATTAGAGCTGGGCGCACTTGTCAGCTACCATGCCAAATTAACTGTTGTAATCTTTTGAGACATCTTTGGAATTAATTCCCTTGTTTGCATAGCGCCGTGTCTTTCACAGTTGAATTTTTAATCTTACTTGACGTCACCGCTCCATATCCGCGATACAATAACTGACATTATGTTAAGTTACGTGTAGGGTGCTCATGTGTGGAACAGTGAGGAATGTGTGTGGAACAGTGAGGAATGTCTATGTAATTGGGTCGTATTAATGTGTCTATTTAGCATTTTAATAAAATTCAACCTAAACGATTCAGCTAAATAAATATCATACATCAAGAGTGAGTGAGTGAGTGAGTTTGGTTTAACGCCGCCTTTAAGAGTGTTCCAGTTATATCGCGACGTGTCAGCTTAATGTGAGAGGAAAACCGAGGTGATGCAGGTCTCAGACATTTACCACTCGTGGGTATGGTGCTGACCAACCTAGAAACATAACTGAGTCGAGCCGGGATTCGAACCCAGCCATAGGTTTCTGGCGTGCCCAAGGGACGAAACAACGAATAATTTTGTTTATTGCGGCGCCTTAGACGACTGGGCCATCCGTGCCCGCATCATACATCAGAAATAAATATTGTCTGATGCGATCACGTGGCAAGCACAATACATATTCTTATTAATGGCATATGCTATGTACAGTGCGAAAAATATCATAATATCTTTATCATATAATGTAATTTATAAAGAATCGATGTTTGAGACTAATTTTCACCCACTAACGGATGTATTGATATATTTAATCCCATCCTCGACAACTCACTGTAATATTTCTCCATTCTGTTATGATAAATACCCTTGACCCATTCTTATTGTGTCCGATACGAAAGACCCGTGAAGATTCCGGGGTAGAATAGGTCTTCAGCAACCCATACTTGCCGTAAAAGGCGACTATGCTTGTCGTAAAAGGCGACTAACGGGATCGGGTGGTCAGGCTCGCTGACTTGGTTGATACATGTCATCGATCCCAATTGCGTGGATCGATGCTCATGATATTGATCACTGGATTGTCTGGTCCAGACTCGATTATTTACAGACCGCCGTCATATAGCTGGAATATTGCTGAGTGCGGCGTTAAACAACCAACCAACCAACCAACAACCAACCGATAGGAGATATGCAAAGCGAGAAATACACCCAAGAGCGAACGTAATTCTGTGCGATGGAGAGAGATACAAATGTTCACGTCAAAATGGACTCTGCTCTTCCCCAAAATGTCGTATGCTTGTGGAAAAGTTTTTGGTTTACGGGGTATTAATCAGATAACTGCGATATCGAGGGTGACTTAACCCCCTTTCTATGGTACGTATTTTACTTTCAGCTCTCGTTGCCGTCGCTTTCTCGGGGGGACACCAGCAGCTTGCGGGCTTCTCAAGTATTGTTGCCATGGGTGATATTGGCTTCACCTTTGTCCTCATCACAGATCGAATGATGTGCCTGAGAATCAAGTTGTATGTCGCGATATTTCTGTGGACGGCGGCACTTGTCAGTTACATTGTTCTCGAGGTTGTACTCATCACCGAATCAAAGGACAACGTTTCTGCCCATCATGGTGTGACTGTAGCTGCAGGGGATGACGTCACACTGAGATTACCTCATTGTAGACAACAAAGTGTAAAAGTGCAGTCGTCCTAACTAAACAACTTTGATGTGAAGTGAATAATATTACCATGGCGTGAACTTTACGTAACTACAGTAAACTACGGTTATAACGAACACGCTTATAACGAACTTACGGATAAAACGAACTTACGTTTTTGGTCCCGACTATTTGCTGTAGTTATGCTGTATATATGATTATAACGAACTACGGTTATAACGAACTAACATTAGTAGTCCCTTTGAGTTCGTTATAACCGTACTTTACTGAATGTAATATTGTTTCTAGTAATCATGGGGCGGTCGGGTAGCCTAGTGGTTAAAGCATGCGCTCGTCATGTCGTAGACCCGGGTTCGATTCCCCACATGGGTACAATAAGTAAAGCCCATACCCGATGTCCCCCGCCGTGATATTGCTGGGATATTGCTAAAAGCGGCGTAAAATTATACTCACTCTTGTAATCATGGTATTTGTTATTTCTGAGGTACATAGAATAATTATATGCACTTGTCTTCTTGTCATTGTGTTTCCTTTATAATACAATATTGGATATGTCTGTTATAGGTTGGGCGGTCGGGTAGCCTAGTGGTTAAGACGTTCGCTCGTAACACCCAAGACCCGGGTTCGATTCCCGATAAGGGTACAATGTGTGAGGCCCATCTCTGGTGCCCCCCGCCCTGGTATTGCTGGAACATTGCTAAAGGCGGCGTAAAACCATACTCACCCACTCTTTAAAAACTTCCATTCTTACTCACTGGATATTAAACCACATTTAAGCAGTGCCTTGATGTACGTGATAATCCTATCAGTATTCTTTTGTTTTTGTGTGATTGTTTGTTTGTTTGTTTGTTTTACGACACGCTTAGCAATATAACATTTACACGGACCATACAATCCACTGATTGTCACCAAGGTAACCATCGACCGAAGCAAATAGGGCACAATGACATGCGAGCCTGACCACCCGATCCCTTCAGTCGCCTCATCATTTGATTATGTACTCATAGTTTCGCGAATCTTTCTTTTGTGTTACCATCATGGGATATCCGACTGTCACTATATTTGTATATACTGAGGGTAACAAGTTATGAAACACGTCGATATAGTGCCGAATACTATTTATAGGTGTGTCTAGTAAACATAATTTTCGCGAACACTTGGTGTCATCCCAATTTGATAGTGATCACAAACAAATGCTCATGATGTAGCCGGAGTCGTATGGTGAATCCCGCATGTAGCATACAATTCTTATGAATATAGAAAAGGTTTTGCCGTTTTTGTTAATATCACGTAAATCACTGAGTGAAATGTTACACGTATACTAGACCATACATATATTTCTTGGAGAGAACAATACGTTGACACTTAAGTGAAACCAGTCAAATCGAAAGTTGAAATCAAACAGAAGTCAATGAAGAAACCCTTTAAGTTTAAAGTGGGTGATCAAGTGAGACTGTCACATTTGATACATACATTTCAAAGAGACTATCAAGAAAAATGGACTGAGGAAATCTTTATCATAAGAAGAAGGTACTATCGTAATGGTATACAAATCTATCTGTTGAAAGATATGGCAGAGGATCCTATACAAGGCAGTTTCTATGCAAATGAACTACAGAGAATAGACAAGCCTGCTGACACTGTGTGGCGAGTGGAGAAAGTATTGAAGAAAAGAAAGCGAGTTGGCGTAAAAGAGGTGTTTGTGAAATGGACGGGCTATCCGAAAATGTTAAACAGTTGGATCCCAGAGACTGATCTTCAGAGTGTATAAGGATCTTCCTCTTGAGAAAATGTTCATTTACTCTCCACTCGTCATGGACTCCACATCGTGTCCTGATTGTGAGAAACAGTTTTCTAGGAAAGATGCTATGCTGAGACATAGAAGGAATAAGCATTCACCAACACCAACACCACAATTTACTCCACCACCACCACCGCCATAATTTACCCCACCACCACCACCACCACCACAATTTACTCCACCACCACCGTCATAATTTACCCCCCCACCACCACCACCACCACAATTTACTCCACCACCACCGTCATAATTTACCCCACCACCACCACCACCACCACAATTTACTCCACCACCACCGTCATAATTTACCCCACCACCACCACCACCACAATTTACTCCACCACCACCGTCATAATTTACTCCACCACCACCGTCATAATTTACCCCACCACCACCGTCATAATTTACCCCACCACCACCACCACCACAATTTACCCCACCACCACCGTCATAATTTACCCCACCACCACCGTCATAATTTACCCCCCCACCACCACCACCACAATTTACTCCACCACCACCGTCATAATTTACCCCACCACCACCACCACCACAATTTACTCCACCACCACCACCACCACAATTTACCCCACCACCACCGTCATAATTTACCCCACCACCACCACCACCACAATTTACCCCACCACCACCGTCATAATTAACCCCACCACCACCACCGTCATAATTTACCCCACCACCACCGTCATAATTAACCCCACCACCACCACCGTCATAATTTACCCCACCACCACCACCACCACAATTTACCCCACCACCACCGCCATAATTTACCCCACCACCACCACCACCACCACAATTTACCCCACCACCACCGTCATAATTTACCCCACCACCACCACCAACACCACAATTTACTCCACCACCACCGTCATAATTTACCCCACCACCACCACCACCACCACAATTTACCCCACCACCACCGTCATAATTTACCCCACCAACATCACACCAAAATTTACTCCACCACCACCGTCATAATTTACCCCACCACCACCACCACCACCACAATTTACTCCACCACCACCGTCATAATTTACCCCACCACCACCACCACCACCACAATTTACCCCACCACCACCGTCATAATTTACCCCACCACCACCACACCACAATTTACTCCACCACCACCGTCATAATTTACCCCACCACCACCACCACCACCACAATTTACTCCACCACCACCGTCATAATTTACCCCACCACCACCCCCACCACCACAATTTACTCCACCACCACCGTCATAATTTACCCCACCACCACCACACCACAATTTACTCCACCACCGCCGTCATAATTTACCCCACCACCACCACCACCACCACCACAATTTACTCCACCACCACCGTCATAATTTACCCCACCACCACCACCACCACAATTTACTCCACCACCACCGTCATAATTTACCCCCCCCACCACCACCGTCATAATTTACCCCACCACCACCACCACCACCACAATTTACTCCACCACCACCGTCATTATTTACCCCACCACCACCACCGTCATAATTTACCCCACCACCACCACCACCACAATTTACACCACCACCACCGTCATAATTTACCCCACCACCACCACCACAATTTACACCACCACCACCGTCATAATTTACCCCACCACCACCACCACCACCACAATTTAGTGGTGGTGGTGGTGGAGTAAATTGTGGTGTTGGTGTTGGTGAATGCTTATCCCTTCTATGTCTTCTATGCTTAATAATATCATGAGCTACAATTCTACATCGACATTCCCTAGATTCTATATTTAGGCATCCCAGCCGTACAAGACGAGACAGGTTTGGGAACTGTTCAGGACGTTCAAGTGCAAGCAGCCAGAGTCTGTGTTCTTTATCATTACGTAGCGAAACATATCTATTTAAGTTAAGTCTAGATAGCAGTTTAGAGCATTCAGCTTCCTGGTCTGCAAACATAATCCTTTCCTTAATATCAGACCATGCTTTTTTACTTGGGAAGCTACATTTAATTAGATAATCTTCTATTTCTGCATAGAGATTGTATTTTTTGACAAGTCTAAGCATGTTATATACAGGTGACAAAGCACACCGTTTTCTGAAGTTATCCAACGCTATTTCGTATCTAAACTGCCCAAGGCGAGTAACGAATACCTTTTTAAAAACATAGCTGTAACTGGACCGGCATAGTTTTCCAAGTAGTAACAGTGACTGTTTGTTAATAAAGGATTGGAGAGATATCAAGCCCATGTTGTACACAGCAACAGTACCTGATGTACATTGTGGAAAGCCCTGTATTTTTCTACTGAAATAACGTTGAATAACTTCCAGCATATCGTATCCTTTGAGGGTTAATAGTCCCTAGACATTACATCCATAGAGCCCGCATGGGAGATCCTAGATCCATTTTGCTGGGATTGGATTCATGGCTCCAAACATTTTTAACTTTTCACAAACTAATTGTGTTCGTTCTGAGGAAGACTTATCAGAGCTAATCCTGACACCTGCATATATTATAGATTGCTGAAGTGGAACACACATACTGCCCAAGTACAGTGATTAAGAGCAGGTAAATTTACGCTGCACATCAAATATTTGAACAGCGCTTTTCGTGACATTGTTCTTAAGCTGGCATTTATATGAATACTGATTTACAACATTGAGAAGATCTTGAGGGCCTGTTGGTGAGCTAGTGTTGTATATGTGTGTGTTAACTCGTGGATACAGAGGACGGCCTTCTCAAAGGTTTGAGTACACAACTGTTTGCCTGCAGTAGACAATGCTGCTATATATGTGACCTAGTTTATCACAGCATTTTGTTTACACAGCTGACAGACGATTGGCTGTATGACCCGATTTCACGCTCTCGACAGGTTTGAATGTACTATACGAGCTACTTATAGCGTGACGTCATATAGATTGTCATGCCTCCGTGCTTGGGGTCAATGGGTGCAAAACGTCCCTGGGGCAGAACGCCCAATGTGCTTTCATCATCAGTGAGTGCGGCGTTAAACAATACAAACAAACAAAGTGCTTTAAAGGCCAATACAGTACATCATATTAGATGAAACATCTCCACATACTAAAAAATATTTTTTTCACCTAATGTACCTAATGTTCTTGACACACACGATCAAGTGTGTCGTCTCTTACAACAAGCACATGAGTCACACGAGGGTTTAATTTTGTATTAATGTGTTGTAAGTAGATAAAAACAGAAACACAAAAAATCAATACAATATGCATGTTCCAATCACACACGGACAAAGTACTCAAGGCTAATTGGCATAAATTGCATCTGCAATTATATAAAAACTAACATCTGTTTGTTTGTTTGTTTGTCGTTTATCGTCCATTATTTACAGACCGCCGTCATACAGCTGGAATATTGCTGAGTGCGGCGCTAAACAACAAACCAACCAACCAACCAACTTCTTGGTCCTGCCGCTTATTGTACGGCATTCGTAAACATTCAAGTGTGTTTTAATATAATCTGTGGATTATTCATTGACAATCGTGTTTGATTTCAGGTCGTAGGAGGGAGGCTTCGAATTCCCGTCGTCTCGTTCTTATATAGGTACAGTCAGCCTTCCAGAAAGTATAGGAATTGTGTTGTCCATTTAATACTGTCAAAACACAACCAAGTTGAGATCACGTGCCAAGTTAATATCATACGAGCGCCTCAATCAATTTGCCGCCTACTATCATTAGAGTTTGTCACGTTTCCAGCCATATCGTGACTAGCACAAGTTCTACAATACTAATGTCTAAAATCTTGTCAACGATTGACAGTAAAATAACAAGAATATCACATATTTGTATACAACCTAGTAGTCATCTACCAACCCGTGAAGATGCCGGGGTAGAATAGGTCTTCAGCAACCCATACTTGCCGTAAAAGGCGACTGTGCTTGTCCTAAAAGGCGACTAACGGGATCGGGTGGTCAGGCTCGCTGACTTGGTTTATGCATGTCATCGATCC